AAAATCAAGGCCCAATAATACCCAATCTGGATTTATCTGTATCCCCTTTTGTAAAATGGGATCCTCTTGATCAGACCTTTCTTACCTTGACAAGAAACTGATTCGGGCTAGCTTCGGATTTAACTGTATGCAAAGACACTGACATTAAACTGAGTTACATTTGGTAACGAGTCCATCTGGATCGGACACTACTGGACCTTGAATTGCAGGACTCTGCCTGCGACATCCTTAGAACCCTTCGGCGCGCCGCAACAGTGAAAAGAATTCGCGCGGGCGAGCGAATGATATCGTATCGCGTCTCATATCGAGCTGTGCATCAAAGGTAACGCGCAAATTCACTCCCACCCTCTTCCCCCGGTACAGTACATGGAGTACGAGGGTGTGGGCTGGGTGACGCCGGGGTACTGGCGTTCGCGGAGCCAGAAAAATATCGAAAAATTGACGGACACACGCCGCACTCTGCAGTGTGTTTAATAATGGATAATGTTTGATACCAAACCCGAGAACGGTGATGATGGCGATGGTGGCGGTGATGGTGATGGTGACGGTGTCGGTCAGCGGCCATTCGTCAGCGCGAGCCGCGCGTATCAAATCGCCGCGGAACAATTCCACGACGAAAATCCAAAATAATAGAGCAACCCTTTCGGCGGTTAAACCGCGCTTTGGCCTTAGCTCGCGAGCGTTCGCGTCGATATATTTTCGCTCTCGCGTGCCCGACGGACGTGTACGTTTCAATATTATCCCCGTATCTCATATCGTATTCGCGTTTTCCATATTTAAAGCCTGCGAGCGAGCGGCGAGTAAGATTTAGCGCGCGGCGAACAAGAAGAAGATAGCGGGACGCAGCCTCTCTCTCTCTCTCTTTCTCTCTCTCTCTCTCTCTCTCTCTCTCTCTCTCTCTTGCCCCCGTCCCTCTCTTCCTTTTCTCTTATCGGGACACGACGAGATAGATTTCCGATGACGAAATTGGTAAGCGGCAGCGGTTCGCGATGATTTTATGATGAGCGCGCATTAAACGAATACTCGCCGTCGCGCATTGACGATGTTATAGAGAGCGACCGTTAATTTCATCGTTGAGAAATTATTCTGTTGACCGATTTATCCCCTTCCCTCTCTCCCTCCTCCGCCCCTCCTCGTCCTGGACGGTTTCAATTACTAACCCCGATCCGACTTTATATCATTGTCAGCGCACTCACCGCGTGTTCCGGCCGTACTTCCTAAATCAAATTATCGCGGAATAACGATGTCGCTAATTATCGACAATGTCAGGTCTTAATTGGGCGAATCATTGCTGTGTTTTGCGCCGCCATTATCATACGAGTGTTTATGCTCGAACGTGTCGGACGCGCGTCGCTGTCCGTGGCGAAAGAGAGCCGCGCGCTCTCGCAAAAGCTCTCGTAATTCGCCGGAGCATCGAGATAATAAATTATTCTCCGAACACGCGCGGGTGAGGGAGAGTAGCGTACGCGATCGCGCCGTTTTCTCTTATCGAAATGAATATTGTAATTTCCAACCGACTTTCTCTGGCGGCGCGGCTTTCCCGTTTTTCCTCACTCTCTCCCTCTCTTCCTCTTTCTCCCTTCTCCATCCTCCCTTCTTTCTCTTTCTCTTTCTCTCTCTCTCTCTTTCTTTTTCCCATTCGTTCCTTTTCTTTGTCTTCTTTTTTCCTCCCTTCTTTTATTTCCGTCGCGAAACCGTGCCTGCGCCACGATTTATGTCGCCGCTTCCTTCGGCTTGCGAGAAATTTACGTGCGTGCATACACGCGGCAGGAAGTTACGGATTCGCGGACCACAGCGATAGGGAGACACACACGCTATTTCCGTTTAGCACTAATTTTCATCCTCGGTCATCGGACCGCGATGTGTGCCGCGTGGTAGATTCAGCGAAATTCGCGTGCCGCGCCTTCATCCCAAGTCGTATCCCTGTATAGAATATTTCTTGGGATGTAATTGCGATCCAGTCCGATTCCCCAAAGTAATTATGGGTTTACGCGCGCGCGTTAGAAGTGCAATGTTTCAAACACGCGATTCTAAGTGACAAACTCAAAGCTTTCCTAATATTTTGTCTGGTCTGCATTTTGCATTATAATCGCATAAAATACATATTGACTTCCCAAATAATTTCATTACTGAGTAAAATATTCAGTGTTCTAAAAATTCTAAGTGACAAACTCAAAGCTTTCCTAATATTTTGTCTGGTCTGCATTTTGCAATATAATCGAATAAAATACATATTGACTTCCCAAATAATTTCATTACTGAGTAAAATATTCAGTGTTCTAAAAATATTGTATTTTTTTGTTATTTTCTTTTATTTTCTTGAATACTGTAGTCGATATAAAAATCGGGGATTCCTTGGATCTGTTTTTTTTTTTAGCTGCATTGCTGCATTAGTGCAATAAGTTAGAGTAAGGCAAATATATTTTATTTTACTTTAACTTATTGCACCAGTGCAGCTGAAAAGAACAGACCACTTGTTTGATGTCATAAAAACATACCGACGCGAGTTCCAGTAGTATTTCTGTTTCAATTCTAGACAGAGGACTTATATTTGGAATAAAAGAACGAATTTTCCAATTGATATTGTAGTGGAGCTAATTGTAGTGATGGCAAATATTTTGAGAAAAATTAGAACATCAAAATCAAAATCAAAATCTATATTAGGTAAATTTTGAAGAATTTCTATGCGGAGTTAAAAATGCAATGTTTCGAATATATAATATGATTCTAAATAGACCCAAAGCTTTCTCAATATTTTTTCTGGTCTTTATTTTTAGATTAGAATTAAACAAAACATATACTGACTTCCAATAATTTCATTATTCAATAAAATCCTTCGAGTGCTTTAAAAATATTTTATTATTTTGATTTTCGACTCTATCAAATACATTAGTCAATATAAAAGTAAAGTGACCCGTTTATAAAAATATAATTAGAACTATAAAAATATACCGATGTTATTGACCAAAAAAAGCGCGAGTTCCGATAGTATTTCTGTTTCAATTCTAGATAAAGAACGAAAGTGTTTGAGACAAGAATGTGATTCCTAGTTGATACTATAGTGAGATCAATTGTAGTAGTAAAAAATGCCCAATTGTGGAACAAACTTAGACATTTTAATCTGTTTTAGAATCTGTTGGGAAAATATTGGGAAATTTCTATCTGGAGATTAGAAATGTAATCTCTCACAAATTCCATTCTAAATGGGATATTCAAAGTTTTCCCGATATTCTCTCTTTATCTTACTTTAAAATTGAGCAAAACGTGTAGATTTATCAAATAATTTAATTATTCAGTAAAATTCCCTTCAAGTATTTTAAAATACCACTTCTTTCGAATCCCGATTTCACTACACCGGCTGTAGTGTAACCCAACTATTTTCAACTATCAATATGACGAAAAATAGATATTTTTAACATATTTATTTTTTAATTTGAAAATGTCAAGAATACGCCAACATCATTAATTACGACGAAGATTTTATAAAAAAAAGTTAATTTTGCAAAAAATCTGAATAGAAATTTCCTGAATCACAAAAAGGCTATTTGCTTAAAAATTTATTCTTTTTTGTAATGTCATATTGTATAAAACCGATTGCCATTTATTAAAGGTAAAGGATGTAAGCTTGCAGAAAAGTGTGGAATAATGAAAAAATATATTATTTTAACGTGAAGAATCTTAACGTCAAGATTGATTTCAATGATGTCTCCTACATCTGCTAAACAGCAGATCGGACAGAGAATCGTAAAGAGAAGACAGACCTTCTTTTTTACCCTCCAATCCCGACGACCCCCTACATTTCACTATATAGAAACGGCGAACGTTTCAGCAATAGCATGGGTGTGGTACATCCAAATGTGGTGTTGTAGAGTTAAAATATTTATTCTCTTGATTTTTTTATTCTGCTGAATGCGGCAGTTGGTATAAATATGAAATTCCCTTTGATATCCCAAAAATAAATCTACGTTATCGACTGAAAAAAAAAGCGCAAGTTTCGATAATATTTCTGTTTCAATTCTAAATATAAAGACCGCACGTTTTGAGACAAGAATGGAATTCCCAATTTGATACCGTAGTGGGTCGATCAATTTTGGGACAGATATGGACATTCTAATCGAAATTTGTACCTGAGGAAATCTTGGGGAATTTCTATACGGAGAAATTACAATACACGATATTTTTCGCGCGATTTCTACTGCCTGCACTACTACATGCACGTTTGAGAGCTTCATGTAGAAACGGACGAACGATCGAACGTGTGTACATATCCTGGCGCGAATACGCGGCAGCCAGCCACGCGTCGCTATTTCTGAGCGGCAGCATTTTTCTGGAAGATTATTGGAAAAAGCGACGGAAGGGGGGAAGAGACGTTTCCACACGGCAACATTTTTCCGCTAGACCATCGCGTACGATAAATTCTCAATGCTGCTCCGCGAAATTTCTCAATTATGAATATATGTACGTACATATCTAGAATCCGTGTCTCCTTCTCTCTCTTTCTCTCTCTCTCTCTGTATATCGATCTTTGTGTGCACTCGCACGATCTTTGTATCAATAGTGCTTCTGTCACGTCAAACATCCTATAGATGTTGTACACCGGATATATGCTTATATGTATATAACGGGGAGTACATATCTCGCAGTCGCGAAACTCCGTAGTATTTGCGTCTACTTCGTGAAACTCGAGAAGATAGTAATTTCAAGCTCGTCGGCTTCGCGAGTGTTTATCCGGAAGTACGGTGCCGCGGCGTGCGACACGCGGGACATACGTGGAATATTCATAACGCTCTCGCGCCACCTTCCCGCTGTAAATGACTTGCAAATGTTTCGCTAATTACAATAGAGCCGCGCGGGGAGCGGGCGCACTCTCGGGCCCGGCTAATCAGCGATGCGAAATAAATCAACGACGCGAGCGGGCGCTTGAAAGCCGCGAAGGCGAGCCGCGCGCCACGAGCAACCGTTCGATTCTCACAGGTTCGTATTCGCTTTTATTGTTAAAGGCAGGAGCTGCGGCGCAGGAGGGAGGAGTGCGAAGATTTCCTGCGAAGCAACGAGAGCTCTCTGGCGCCCTTCGATCCCGCCAGCAGCGACGTCAACAGGGTAGCTCGGTTAATCTTGGACGGTCAAGGAGGTACGTTCTCACGTTCTCCGCCGCGTGAATTCGCGATACTCCCTCGTTGGAGAAACCTCCGACGTGACTTTTTCTCGTATGTACTGTGTGTCTCATGTATTTCTTACTATTATAACACACAGAATTATTCGTACCGCGTTCAAATAAATATTACCTGTTTCATGAGTTTATACAGGGTGTCCTAGAACATCCTTTGAAGCTCTCGTGGAGGCATAGTGCCGACTAAGGTGAACATAAAAGTCCTATATCATTTTGCGATATCCGCAATAATTATTGAGATATTAATTAAAGAAGATTTGTGAATGATCACGCAAGATATGGCAGATGAGCTGTAGTGGCGACATCTGCCGTCGTGTGCTTGTACATTGAGTCAAACTGAACAAAAAGTCCTCTACGTTTTTCCTAATAACTTTGTAGATTTTTAGTTATTAATTAGATAACATTATATTATCACGAGCAAGCATCCGCCAATCTCTCCTTTAATTAATAATTAAAATATATAAAGCTATTAAAATAGTAAAGGACTTTCTTTGTTCAGTTTGATCTCGTGTACAAACACACAATGACAAATATCGCACTACAATTCATCTATTATATCTCGCGACCTATTATATCTATTATGTTTCTTTGATCATTCAAAAATCTTCTTCAATTAATGTTTCGATAATTGCGAATATCGCAAAACGATATAGGACTTTTATGTTCAATCCGTATTATTCTTCCACGAGAACTTCGGAGGTTGTTCTGAGATACACCCTGTATATTCACAAATCAAATGTTTCTATTAAATGACTCTATCAAATGTTTCTCGTATAAATTTGTCAAATCTATTCAAAAAACATTCTAAATTCTTGTAAGTTTCTATCAAGAATATTAAATGAAAACAAGAATTCAGTTCGCTTATTATATGAAGTCGAGCCAACTTCTTCTTTGATAAAGTTTTATAATAATCTTGTAAAGAGAATCAATTCTTCTTTTGAGTACATGATAATGAGTTTTTCTAAAATTTGTAATAAGTATTAAGGCCGTTAACAAAAAAAAATTCGTTGTTGAAGGTAATGATTGCTTAAAAGCAGGAAAATAAGAAGAAAATTACTTTTCTCAGCAGTAGAATGATATATTTTTGTAGGTAGTTAATTATATTTCGACCCTGCACGGAAAAAAAGATTTGGTTGAATTAACCAAATATCTGGTCGAATATGAACGATCCAGAAATTCCGATTGAAGTAACCCGAATTCTGTTTAAGTTAACAAGATTTTTGATTGATTTAAACAGAATTCGGGTTACTTCAATCGGAATATCTGAATCGTTCATATTGGACCACATATTTGGTTAATTCAACCAAACCTTTTTTTCCATGTGCGTATACGTATGTACACGGTAAAAAATAAAATGTCAGTTTCATATTCTCTCCAAAAAGTCCACTTTAAATTATAAATAAAAATAACTCATTTGTCGTGTGCTATTTATGGATAATCTAAAAAGTTAATTAATTGACACTTACATATTCTTTTTTTACATTTATGTTTGATGCTTTGATTCTAAATACGATTAAAATAACATTTCATTTCATATATCTTGATGTTTCACTTTTGATAGCGTTAATAACATTTTATTTTCACTTCATGTACATTGATGTGTTAGACAACTGAAAAATCGCGTGAAAATACACTAATTTTTACGTGCACATCATAGAAACATAAAAATGTTCCATTACTTTTCGCAAGTTATTCTAATTGCTCTGTCGCGTATTTTTTAATATTTTAACTACTTTTTCGCGTATACTTTATTATTTTTCATGTTACATTGTACTTTCAAAATCAAAACAACAAACTAAATGCAAAAAAGTGTGTGAACAACAATTAATTTATACTTCTAGTTTATCAAAAAGTAATTCATAACGAATGAGTTACTTCTATTTAAAATTTAAGGTGAACTTCCTCGGATACAAAGACGACGCTTTATTTTTTACTATGTGAGAAAGAAGCGGAAAATATCATACAAATCCCGTACAAATCTCGTCATAATTATAACGGTAAGGCACACGTGGCGCAGTATATACGATATCATCGCGAGCGATAGCAGCGGGCGATTATCGTTACGACGACGATCTGTAATTCTCGCGACGGTATGGGAGACGCGGGATTTCGTTCGCAATTTTCCGCGCTGTATACGGAAGGCCTTCGGAGATTCTCAAATGTAAATGCTTGCATGCATATGCATGGCTGCGTCTGTGAGTGTAATTCTGATTATGCAAACGCTTTCTTACAAATAGAATTCTGTCGCGAATTATAAGTCGTCCGGAGTGCGCGCACGCGCGCCTTACGTACGTAGAATAGAATCCCGCGTCGCGGAATCGCAGATCGTCCCGAAGCGCGCCCGCTCTCGCGCGGGCTTTAATACGTAACAACGTTAGAAATCCGCGAATTCTCCGGGCCGCCGGATACGCGTCTAACGCAGTGGTAAGCTGCTGATTATCCACGAACGATAAGATATTACGGCGCCATATGCTGACGCATTACTGGCAACGCGGGAGTTGTATCGCACGGCGTGTTACGCGGCCGCGTAACGTTATCGCGGAGGCGGCTCTAAGTGTAATCTGCGGGGATAACAAGAAGGTTAGCGAGGCAAGACTGGCGTCAATATCGTTACCGGCGAGAGACAGAGACACAGGCGGCGAGTGAGAGAGAGTGAGAGAGTGAGAGACCGACGGAGAGCACGAGAGATAGAGAGAGACTCGGGGTCCGCAATAAAGGCGGAATAATAATGTCTCTAGCCCCTCTCTCTCGTCTGGGAAACCTGTATCCGACGTCAAAATGCAGGAACCATTCCGGATTATGCGCTCCTCGGCATTGTCTTGTCTATTGACTGCTTAGAACTATCCCAGAGACGGCTTCCCGGATACGTCATTTTCGAGTTCACCGGCTGGAATAAGGAGCATGTCGTTGAGAGGATCCCCAGTGTATAATAAGAATTATGGTAACCGGTAATCCATAGTCGTCGGCGCATATACATCTCGCGTACTACCAAGACGACCAGAACACCAGTGGCGGTGATAGTAAAGCGTGGAAACGGGAATCGTGGGAAGCGGACAACGCGCGTTATCTTTTTCGGTTTTGATTTCGTTTTTTTGTTTTGGTTGTTTGTGTTGTTTTTGTTTTTTACACGCCAAGCAGATTTAACGATCTAACGCTATTAATTAGGAGAAATGTGACTGGCAAAAATACAGAGAATTGACAGACGCAACTCGATTCCCCGATACCGTTTCGTGTCCGCGTGTTCGATCCCGGAGCGAACGTGTGGACGCGCCGGCAACCGCATAGAAAATCTTTTGGGATCTAATTGAGATTCTGTCCGATTCTCTAAAATAATTATGACCCGCGTGAAAATTTTCCAAACATTCCCAAGTATCGCGCAGGTCCCAATCAGTTTATTCAAACTTGTCCTAAATAGGTGTATCATATTGATACCCCAATTGGGAATCCCATTCTTATCCCGACTGTAGAAAATTTTCTGAGATTTAATTGGAATCTATTCCGATTTCTCAAATAAATAAAGTTGTGATTGTAACTGGAAAACCCAAATAGATTCCATTTGCTCTGCCCAACTTTTTTCCAATTTCTATTTCGGTTTACAATACATTTGAAGGCGTCCGTTCATGTCCCCCTCCGAAACGTCATCGCTCACGACAAAACCTTCACGCGAGAATGGAACGAGATAAGAAAGCATTTCTTATCTCGGAAAATTTCGCGAACATTGTTTCGACAAGAAAAAGACGACAGCGCACATGATGCGTTCACGCATTGTCCGCTCACATCCCTTTCCGTAACGTTCACAAGATAATCGCGAACGGTCGATTGTAGAGATCTTTGAATCAGAGACTGACCATGAGGTAATGCGTTTTGATTGGCCCGCCATGTTTCGTTGATTCCCGCTTGTATACAAATAATCTTGCAAATTTTATATTTCAATAACACAAAAAACGATATACGCAACGATTCAGTAGTAATGGCGATCCAGTAATGAAGGCGGTCCAGGAATGGAGACGATCCAGTAATGGAAGCGATCAAGAAATAGAAGTGATCCAATAGTAGAGGTCAAGAATTGAGGCGATCTAAGAATGGAGTTCAAGAATAGAGACAAGTGGAAAGTGGAGATTGATAATAAAGATTAAATATGGAAAGAGAGCAAGAGAGAGTGAAAGGAAGCGAGAGGGGGAGGAAGAGAGAGGGAAAGAGAAAGGAAGAAAAAGAGGGAGGAGAGAGCGAAAAAATATAAGAAGGAGAAAAAGAGAGAAAAGGAAATGAAAGGGAAAGAGAGAAAGAAGACTATAACAGAAGATATTGAAGTTTTCTTATGTTTTTGGTCTTGTGGTTTTGTTAATATTATTATAGTTAATATCTATGATACACGAACTGAATGGCGCGTCTATGTTGTTCTAATATACTAAAAAATTTCTTATATTTAGTGTTTGTTTTTTTTCTATTAGGTGTACAACTTTGCTTCCGCCGCTTTTTTCCGAAATTCGAGGCTTTATTGTAAAAAACTGGTTATACATTTATGATTCAAAGTATTGCCCATCACTGGCCACTACTTTCTCCCATCTTTCGGACAGTGTACGAATCCCACGTCGAAAAAACTGGTCATCTTTTGAGGCGATCCACGAATCGATCCAATTTTTTACTTCTTCATAAGACCGGAAGTGTTGGTCAGCCAGGCCGTGTGCCATTGATCGAAACAAGTGACAGAGGGAGCAACGTCTGGAGAATACGGTGGGTGGGATAGAACTTCCCATTTCAACGTTTCCAAGTATGTCTTGACCACTTTCGCAACATGGGGTCGAGCATTGTCATGCTGCAAAATCACTTTATCGTGTCTCTCGTTGTATTGCGGCCGTTTGTCTTTCAATGCTCGGCTCAAACGCATCAATTGCGTTCGATACCGATCGCCTGTGATTGTTTTAGTCGGTTTTAACTCATAATACACTACACCGAGCTGG